TATGGACTGACACCTAGCAGTTATGTCTCATTCTTCTCCATCCTTTTCCCTCCTGTCCAATCCATCAGTAGTAGCTGGTGATGTCACCTCCAGAATCTGTTCTATGCATCTGTTCCTCCTGGTTGAGAAGTCTTCCTTTGCATAGCATCTAGCATCATCCCTCACATCCAAGACTATTCAAATAGCCTTCTGATGTCTCTTTGTGTCTCCAACTTTGGCATCAGACACTCTTCAGTTGAGAGCCCTTGTTACCTTGCCCATTTGGGGAAATAAAACAGAAATACTAGACAAATATAGCTCAAATAAGTAAAATTAGATAGAATCCTTTGGACAAGCCGAGACAGCCCTTGTCTCCCTGAAGAAATGATAGAGACTTTTAGTGGTCTGGGTGACAGTTGAAGAGGAATTAAAAATATAGCCACCAAAGGCATATTTGCCAAGGCAGCATCTCAAGGATGGAGTGCGGGAAAATTTCTGTGATTCTTAATGAACTGAAGTTTCCTTCAGCATTTCTCACACACCTCAATCTCTCTGTCTTTGTCTCTCTGTCTCTGTCTCTCTCTCTCTCTCTCTCTCTCTCTCTCTCTCTCTCTCTCACACACACACACACACACACACACACACTATTCACTCATCATTCCAGTGAATACAATGAAGAAATGGACTGGAGATGCCAAGGAGAAAGGAAGAATGGCCAATTATGAGCTTACAGCACTCATTATATGAAAAGTGGCCATGACCTATGCTGAGGAGGTTGCCATAGTGATGGTAGCCACTTAGTGCACAGAGTGCATTTTGACAAAATTGCTTTGCTTTTTTCTTCTCAGACCTGGGAGTTCAAGCCTGGTAGATAGAAAGCTTGAATGTGAAGCTCTGATCTACATTCAACTAGCCATGTCACTGGAGATTGCTTAAGAGTAGTGCTGTCCTCTTGGAGTTGAAAAGATGTCGGTTATCTCTGTATTTAATTTTCCTCTGTTACATTATTAAGATAGATCCCCCATGAGGGTAATGTGTGTGCACACAGATGTGCTAGTGTGTGTGTGTGTGTGTGTGTGTGTGTGTGTGTGTGCCTTTGCATGAGCAGGAGAGCAGTGACCCTCAACCTTCCTAATGCTGCAGCCCCTTAATACAGTGGCTCATGTTATGATGACCCTCAACCTTAAAATTATTTCAATGCTACATCATAATTGTAATTTTTGTACCATTATGAATCATAATGTAAATATTAATACACAGATGGTCTTGCGTATATCTGTGAAGGGGTCGTTCAACCTCAAAAGGATCCCAACCCACAGGTTGAGAACCGCTGATGCAGCCTGACTTCTTTTGTGGGTGTGTGTGCCTTCACAATTATATTTATTTATTTATTTATTAAAAATTTCCACCTCCTCCCCTCGTCCCATTTCCTTCTCACTCCCCTAATCCTCCTCCCCCTCCCTCTCCAGTCATAAGAGAAGTCCTTGCCCTGTGGGAAGTCCAAGGCCCTCCCCCCTCCATCCAGGTCTAGGAAGGTGTGTATCCAAACAGACTAGGCTCCCAAAAAGCCAGTACATGCAGTAGAATCAAAACCCAGTGCCATTATCATTAGCTTCTCAGTGAGCCCTCATTGTCAGCCACATTCAGAGTGTCCAGTCTGATCAAATGCTTGCTTAGTCCCAGTCCAGCTGGCCTTGGTGAGCTCCCATTAGATCAGTCACATCATCTCAGTGGGTGGACACACCCCTTGCGGTCCTGACGTCCTTGCTCACTGAACCTGATAGAAGAGAAAGTGGGAAGTAGTTTGCAACACATGGGCACAGAAGACCACTTCCTACATATAACCCAGGTAGCACAGACAATAAGAGCAACAATTAATAAATGGGACTTCCTGAAACTGAGAAGCTTCTGTAAAGCAAAGGACACTGTCATTAAGACAAAAAGGCAGCCTACTGACTAGGAGAAGATCTTCACCAACCCCACATCAAAGGTCTGATCTCCAAAATATATAAAGAACTCAAGAAACTAGACATTAAAATTCTGAATAACCCAATTAAAAAATGGGGTACTGAACTGAGCAGAGACTTCTCAGCAGAAGAAGTTCAAATGGCCAAAAGACACTTACAGTCAAATTCAACCTCCTTAGCAATCAGGGAAATGCAAATCAAAACAACTTTAAGATACCATCTTAACACCTGTCAGAGTAGCCTGTCTTCATTCTCTCCACCTTATCACCTTGAGACAGGGCCTCTTGCTGAATGTTTGGTTAGGCTAGGTGGCAGCAAGTTCTGAGGCTCTGCCTGTCTGTGTCCCTCTCTCCATCACTGGGTTTCCAAGAACATACAGCCATGCCTGGCTACTGCGGACTGAACTCAGGGCCTTGTAGTTACAGAGCAAGCCCTTATCCACTGACACATCTCATGGTTTCATTCACTATAAACTTCACTTCTAGATGTGGAGGTGCACAGCCAGGCACGCCCTGGTCTGAGTCTGGCTTAACTTCGGGCCTGTGTGAAGAGGGCAGGAACAACATTTACCACCAAGGTGAGTGTGTGTGAGAAGCCAGCATGGAGCGAGTGAGAATGTGTGAGATATTATAGAGATGTTTTAAGGGAAGGGGGTATGTCCGTGCCCAGATATTCAAAAAAGTTCTTCTGTGCCAGGTGGTGGTCATACATGCCTTTAATCTCAGCACTCAGGAGGCAGAGGCAGGTAGAGCTCTGGGTTTGAGGCCAGCCTGATCTATAAAGTGAGTTCCAGGACAGCCAGAGCTACACAGAGAAACCCTGTCTTGGAAAAACAAATAAAGTACTTCTGATTTCTGTTATCTGTGCCAGACACTGAAGTAAAAACTAGAGGTGGAATTATGAGCAAGATGGATGTTCAACCATTTTTTAAATACAAATTCCTCCCTACTATGAGCCAGGTATCATGTTAAGTAAAGCAAAGGGATGTGCGTGAAACGAGTGTTACTGTGAGAATATCTGATGAGCTACATGAGGATGTCACTCTGTGACACCCTTCTGTGCAACCCTCCCCCTTCTGATTAAGGATTCCCCTCTGTCTGCCCAAGCACCAGAAGTTGAGGAACAGGTCTCTTTCCATTTAAAACTTGAATCCACGATCGGTTCCATCTGCAACATCTGGTGCTGTGAATTACCTTCTGGGTTGTATGTATGCATGCATGTAGGATGGATTGATGGATGGATTTGGAAGCTGTCTCCCAGGAGAATATAAATGTCATGATGATACAGTTAAGCTTCATCTTGCTTACAATAGGAGTATACAAAAAAGGGCTCTGAAGTCACTGACATGTCTTTGGACATATTTGATTATGGCCCAGCCCTGGAAAAATATATGTACATATATGTGTGTGTGTGTGTATGAATGTGTGTGGTGTAGTGTACACTTGTGTGTGCGGGTAGGCTTGCCTGCGCATTTGAATGCAGAGACCAGGGGTAAAGATAGTGATCCACTGTTCTCCACTTTTTAAATTTTTAAAAATTTCTGATATGGTCTGTGCATGTAGCATGCACATGGGTGAGTGCTGTATAACCGTGAGCATGCATGCAGAGACCAGAGGAGGGTGCTTTGTCTTCCTTTTCTCTCTTCCTCATTCCTTTAAGACATGGCCAATGAGCCAGAAACTTGACATATCAACCAGGCTGGATGAACAGAGAATTCCCGTGATGCACCTACCTCTGCTCCCCAAACACTATAGTCACAGGCATATGAATCCATACGTGCTCTTTACATAGATGTGACGGACTTGAATGCAGCCCCCACGCTTGCACAGCACAGCACACTCTCTTACCCCTGCACCATCGCTCCAACAGCGCCACCTTATTTTCTCAGACAGGATCTGTCACTGTCTGTGGGACTCTTCAGCCAGGCTCTGACTGACAAGCAGCCCCTGGGATTCTCCTGCATCTGTACTACATCCCCTATGATCCACACTGGGGTAACAGAGGCAGCACCCTGACTTGTGTGATACGGATCTAAACTTGGGTCTTCTTGTGTGGACAGCAAGCACATGGCACACGTAGCTATCTCCCCGGGCCCACAAATTCCATATATTTTACTCAAAACTGATTTTTCACAAAACGTACACAAGAGACAATTTTTTTTCAGTATTTCTTCTGGGCAGTATACGAAGTGGCATGACCCATGATTGTCACAGATTATAGAATGAATAGACTCCGTTGAACAGGAGATAAACTCAAGTCAGCATTTGTTAACTACAGCTATACTCAGAAAGTGTGAATAGTAGAAGGGGTGGTTACTGTTATCTTCTGGCCACCAAGAATGGACCTCAGAAGGTGTCTTTATATATTTATATGTGAAGGGATGTGGCAGAGGGCCCACACATATGCCATGTTGCTATCAGAGAACAACTTACAGGAGTTGACTCTCTTCTTCCACTATGTGGGTACTGAGGATTGAACTCAGGTCTTCAGGCTTAGTGGCAAGCTCCTTTCCTCACTGAGTCATCGTGGTGACCTTAAAGGTGATATTTTAAAATATATCTGGAGGCTAGGAATGGTCTAAGGATGCCAACATATGGAATATGTATACGCAAAGGCCCTGGGGAAGGCATACTGGGTGCGTGGGGAAAGAGTATTAGGGGTTGAGGATCATGGGAACCTCTTGGAAGAGTAGCAGGAAGTGTATGTGGAGACATAAGAGCCAGGACACATCCATCCTTATAAACAGACATAGAAAGAGTGATTGGAGGAGAGAGAATGAAGGGTTCAAAGACCCTGAGGTGGTTTGCATATGCTGCGTGGAGATCCATGGAGCACAGACCAGAGAAACAGGGAGGAGTCAGATCCGCAAATGAGGTCATTTCATTCATTCCACACTTGCTGAGGTGTTTAAGGAAGGCTCTGGGTGTGAGAGGATCTGTCTTTCCAGTGACTGTAGAGGACAGAACCTACAGGCTCCAATTCTTGCTTCATCTTCTTCTCCCTCTGGTATTCCATAGGGTTCCTACCTGGTCCTTAGCTCAGTGTTCTCGAATCCTGGCCCAATGCCACCTTCCTGGGCAGCTCCTCCCTGGACCAATCAGAGCCGCGCACGTGAGCTGGAGTTTGTGTTGCTGGGCTTTGCACATGTGCCTTCCCTGCGCCCAATGCTCGCAGCACTCTTCCTGGCCGCCTTCTTGCTCACGTTGCTAGGCAACACACTCATCGTCATGCTCACCAGCCTGGATCCAGGCCTGCGTGCACCCATGTACTTCTTCTTGCGCCAGCTGGCGCTGGTGGAGATCTGCTTCTCAATGGACGTGGCGCCCCGTCTGCTGGTGACCCTACTGCAGCCAGGACGTGGGATGTCCCCGACAAGCTGTGCCCTGCAACTGCTCCTCGTGCTGTCCTGTGTCACATCTGAGTGTTTCCTCCTCACGGTCATGGCCTGGGACCGCTTCCTGGCCATATGCAGGCCACTGCGCTACGGCGCCATCATGAGTTTGAGGCTGTGCCACCTGCTGGCCACCACTTGCTGGTTGGCAGGAATCCCCGTGGCTCTGGTCTTCACTATCTGGCTCTTTAACTTTCCTTTCTGTGGGCCACGGGGCATCCGGCACTTCTTCTGTGACATAGCACCTCTTCTGAGCCTGGTGTGTGCAGACACCAGAGTCTTTGAGGCCAATGTGTTTGTGGCCACTGTCCTTGTCATCATGGTTCCCTTCTGTCTTATAGCTACATCCTACGTCATGATTCTGACTACTGTCCTTCGGATGCCATCAGCCTCTGGGCGCCACAAGGCCCTGTCCACCTGTGCCTCCCACCTTATCGTGGTAATTCTGTTTTACGGCACAACAGGGGTCATCCACTTGCGCCCCAAGGCCAGCTACTCTCCTGAGAGCAAGCAAGTGGTGTCCCTGTCGTACACTATGGTGACTCCCATGCTCAATCCTCTCATCTACAGTCTGCGGAACAAGGAGGTCAAAGCTGCCTTTGGCCGTGTGTGCTGTGGACGCCAAGGGTCTAGACTCTAGACTCTATGAATGAATTCTCTCTCCTACCACCTTTCAGATTCAAAAGAAATTGTTGAGGGCCACTTTCTCAGGGTGGCTTAACACCCTGACGCTCCTCTGGGGAACCCATAGCTGCTTCCATTTTCCTACCCAAGAGAAGGTATAACACCCAAATTTTTGATTTCTGATCTTGGCTGTTTTAAATAAAAGTGGCAAATGAATCCACTTTAAGCCAACTAGAGTACATTAGCTAGCTCTTCTGAAAGAATGTTGCATAACAAATCATTTAAAATGTAGTGTCTTAAAGCCTGTAACTTATGCCAGGTAGTGGTGGCACAGCACTTGGGAGGCAGAGGCAGGCAGAGTTATGAGTTCGAGGCCAGTGTGGTCTACAGAGCAAGTGCTAGGACAGGCTCCAAAGCTACACAGACAAACCCTGTTTCAGAAAACAAAAACAAACAAAAAAGGCCTGTAACTAACTTATTCTCATTCACTTTCAATCAACTGGATATAAGGTAATCTAGGCTGGACCTACCTTAGTGGTATTTTTGTGTTAGAGGGTATTCTTTCTATGTGCTGCTTTCATTGGTTAAATAAAGAGGCTGCCTTGGCCTTTTGATAGGGCAGCAGCTTAGATAAGTGGAGTAGACAGAACAGAATGCTGGGAGAAAGAAGGCAGAGAGCCGCCCGCCATGAAGCTGCCAGATCAGATGCTGAATCTTTCCTGGTAAGCCATGAGCTCGTGGTGACATACAGATTATTAGAAATGGGTTGAATCAAGATGTGAGAGTTAGCCAATAAGAGGCTAGAACTAATGGGTCAGCCAGTGTTTAAATGAATACAGTTTCTGTGTAATTATTTCAGGGTTAAGTAACCGGGCGGTGGGAAGCATCCCGCTGCTCCTTTTACAACAGTGTTTTGACATGGGCTAATTTTGCTCATGCAAATGGGTGTTGATCAATGTTAGGATGGCCTAAATGAAGAAGATTTGATCCATATACTTCTCTTGAGACCAAAGGGCTAATTAAGGCATGGCTTTTCATTACAGTAGCTGAAGTATAAGAGGAGAGACCCAATTGCATGAGGAATTATTAAGACTTTGGTCACTTGTCATGATATTATAAGGATTAGACAACTGGTACCCTCAACCTTTATGTGGAGGAGGCTGGAGTCACATGAAATTTGGCCTACACAGATGGATGGCTAAAGAACTGGAGACATTAATAAATCTACATCAGAAAGTCAGATCTGGATTTCTCTCTCTGATTTTTTTCTTTGTCCATTATCTTAACGAGGGTTTCTATTGCTGTAGTAAAACACCATGGCCAAAAGCGACTTGGGGAGGAAATATTTATTTTCTTTTAAAGCTCGATGGTCACAGTCCTTCACTGAAGGAAGTCAGGGCAGGAACTCAGAAATGAACCTGGAGGAAGAAGCTAAAGCAGAGGCTGTGGAGAGGGGCTGCTTTCTATCATGGCTTGCTCAGCTGCTTTCTTACATAACCCAGGACAGCAAGTCCAAGGGGGCACCACCAACAGTGGACAAGGTTCTCCCATATAAATCACTAATAAGAAAGTGTTCTCCAGACTTCCCTATAGGACAATCTCATGGAGACATTTTCTCAGTTTAGAGTCCATCTTTCCAAATGACTCTAGTTCATGTCAAGTGGATATAAAACTAACGAGCACATCTATAGGATTGTAGAAGATGTAGGTGCTATGATTTGGTCTTCAACAGAGGAGGCTCAGCAGTATAGTGCACCCATTGCTCTTCTACAGGACTAGAGTTCCCTTCCCAATATCCGTGTGACTACCACCTGAAAGCCTTCTTCTGGACAGTTTGGGTACCGCACACATGTATGTACCCTTACATACTGTATGTGCACGCTCATGTGCGTGTGTGTGTGTGTGTGTGTGTGTGTGTGTGTGTGTGTGTGTAAAACAGGAGTCTCTGACTGATAATAGAATCAACAAAAGAAAAACAAATCTATTGGAGAGACAGCAATGAGGCCCTAATGACTGATGAATTCCTGGATCTCTCATACCCTGAACTTCGGTCTACCTGTGGAAAGTGTCCTTCTATAAATAAATAAATTCACTTCAACTCAAACCCATTTAGGTTGCTTGTGATAAAGCATCACAGTCAAAGCAATTTACAGAAGAAAGCTATTTATGATTATGGTTTCAAAGGGTTGAGTTCATGATGGCAGAGTAGAACTGAACACTAACCACCAATGCCTAGAAGCACAAGCAGAAAGCAGAGGAAGTGTGAGCTAGCTATGTATAACACTTGAAACCTCAAAGCCCACTCCCAGTGCCACACCACCTCCAGTAAGACCACACCTAAACTTCCCCAAACATGGCCACAAACTGGGGACCAAGTATTCAAATGCCCAAGATTATGGGAGACATTCGTCATTCAAACCACCACACTACTACAACTTTTAAATAATTCTTTAATCTTCTCCCCCTCTGCACAAAGCGTAGTTGCCTCTACAGAAGAGCCCTGAGAGCGGCCGCTGCACCAGGTCATTACTGGTAACTTTGTGATGGAAATCAGCTAGTACTTACTGAGACTCTGTCCATTCTGTCACTTTTCATGCCAACATGAAATGCCAACATGGTAAATGTTCCTGCTAATTTAAGTTTGAAAAAAATGTCTATACCTTATTCCTGCATAATGGTAATGACAAAAATGACTCTATTGGAGGATAATTTCATTTCTACTGAGCTGAGTGACATCTACAGTTACTACTTTTGTATTCTCAATGATCCTGAGAGAAAGGCAATTTATTTGGGTTGTTTAAAATCATCTTAATCTGTCTAGCTGTATGACTTCTGAAATATAGGACAAAAGTTGAGTTTCAAATCTGCTGAGAACCACTCTATGTAACGTTCTTCTGTCCTCGTTCAGAAGATGACCCACCATGGGACTTGCTCAGAGAAGACGCCCAGCTCTGTTTGGGTGGAGACAAAAGGAGTTAGTAAATATTTTTCAAATACTGTGGTGTTCAGTTTAACTTATAAAAGATGAATCATATTTCATCATAAGAAAAAATAATTTGTCGTAGCACGAATAGATTTGTGGAGGTCAGGAGTCAATACCTTGTTTGTCATTAGTGTGTATACAGTTAGGGGAAAAGCGTGTGGAAGGTTTTGCACTAGCATTCTAGGTTACATATAAAGACAAAACTGACACTGTCCCCCCAGGGTTAGTGGATGTCATGGAAGAAGCCATGAGATGAAGGTGAAGGATGGGGAGGAGGGCTGTGAAGCGCTGTCTGCAGCACATGGCTTGGCTGTTGCACACATGAACTCATTGCACTGTGCACAAGGTCACCCGCACAAGGTCAAACTGGCATGATTAATTCACATGTCAACAGGCAGCACAAACTAGACTCTGCAGATTTGAAAAGAAAATGGAGCAGAAGGACCAAAGGTGCGAGGAGAACATGTCGGGGGGCGGGGAGTGGAAGGAGGAAGTTGGAGTGGAAATGGTCAAGGTACATTGTATACACTTATGGAATTGTCAAAGAATAAACAAAAGATGTTCTAAAATAAAGCCATGAAAAAACAGGATGAGTAACAGTATAGGAAAGTATTCTATAAATATATGTATGGATTTTTCCTTGGTTGCTAAAAACTGTGAATTTTGTCTTTAAAAGAAAGTAATTAAATGTAAATAATATGTAGACCTTTAGTATGTGAAAATGTTGGTGGGGGCAGAAGTTGAAGGGGAGGAAATAGGTGTGGTATGATAAAAATACATTGAATATAGAGAGAGAATGTCAAAGAATAGATATTTTTTTAGAAAGAAAAACGTTTGCTGGGTCATGGTGTTACACATTTTTAATCCCCACACTTAGGAAGCAGAGTCAGATGGCTCGCTGTGAATTCGAGCCCAGCCTGGTCTTCAGAGTGAGTTCCAGGACAGCAAGGGCTACACAGAGAAACCCTCTCTCAAAAACAAAAACAGTTTGCTTCAGTCAGGGTTTGATGATATTTCGAGGGCAATGATTTCTTCAAGACTTTTTAAATTTATTAAAACAAACTGTCTTCTCATTTCACATGCCAAATACATTTCCCACTCCATCTCCTCTTCCTGCTCCCTCCACCATCCCCCCTCTCACCCCCATCCACCTCCCATCTACTCCTCAAAGAGAGTAAGGCTTCTTGTGGGAAATCAGCTCTCCTCCACTATATCTAGCCTGAGCAAGATATCCCTCCAGAGAGAATGGGTTCCAAAAAGTCAGTAAAAGCAGTAGGAATAAATCCTGCCAGTGGCCCCACAGTCTGCTCCAGCCATACAATTGTCAGCCATATTCAGAGGGCCTATTTGGTCCTATGCTGGTTCCTTCATTGTCAGGCCTGAGTTGGAAGGTTTCCATTAGCTCAGATGAGCTGTTTCCATGGGAATCCCCATCATGGTCTTGACCTCTTTTCTTGTATTCTCACTCCTCCCTCTTTTCGACTGGACTTTGGGAGTTCAACCCAACGCTCCACTGTGGTTCTCTGAATCTGCTTTCATCAGTTGCTGGATGTAGGTTCTATAGTGACATTTAAGATATTCATCAATCTAACTACAAGGCTAGGCCAGTCAGGCACCCTCTCCACTATTGCTTAGGGTGTTAGCTCGGGTCATCCTTGTGGATTTCTGGTCATTTCTCTACTGCCAGGCTTCTTGCTATCTCCATAATGGCTCCCTCAATCAAGATATCTCTTTTTTCTTTTCTTTTTTTATTGATTTTATTGAGGTATATATTTTTCTCTGCTTCCTTCCCTGCCTCTCCCCTCTCCTTCAATCTTCTCTCATGGTCCCCACACTACGAATTTACTCAGTAGTCTTTTACTACTTCCCATGTAGATTAGATCCATCTACGTCTCTCTTATGGTCCTTATTGTTGTCTAGATTCTCTGGGATTGTGATTTGTAGGCTGGTTTTCTTTGCTTTAGGTTAAAAAAACCACTTATGAGTAAGTACATATGATAATTGTCTTTCTGGGTCTGGGTTAACTCGCTCAATATGATGTTTTCTAGCTGCATCCATTTGTCTGCAAATTTCAAAATGTCATTTTTTTCTGCTGTGT